GAAACAGTTGGGCATCAGGTTTTAGTTAAAAGGATCTCAATTTCCTTTCGCCTTAGGGAACATTTAGAAAGCTTTTTGGTTCCAGTGCTGTGGAAGTTAAAACTGAATGCATAAAACAGTTTTTTTTTCTGAAGAAGGGTCTAGGCCCGAAACGTCAGCTTTCCTGCTCCTCTGATGCTGCTTGGCCTGCTGTGTTCATCCAGCTCTATACCTTGTTATCTCAGATTCTCCAACATCTGCAGTTCCTTCTATCTCTGCATAAAACAGTTGTTCCTGAAGAAAGGGGGTAATTTAAAACTGTGAAATTATTTACCTCAGTGAAAGGGGTTTACTTAGAAAGTTCCAGACCAGAAGTATTTGGCTAAAATCATAAAGGGGTTACTTGAAGCTGAGAAACTCTAAGCTCAGTTGTAGGAATACTCAAGGAAGAGGTAATCAGTCTTTCAAGATAGGGAATTGAAAGGAACAGTCCAGTCAAACTCCAGAGGTGATAAAGAAGTTATCCTCTCTGATGATGAATTATTGTACAGGGATACTACAGAAATAAATGCAATTGTATTTTATCATGTGATTCAAAATCTTTAAACTCATGGTGTATCTAAATAATTTGGTTTGTTTTATTTATCTTCTTTTGTGTTGCATATGAAACTTCAGTTTTATTGTTAAAATCAAAACTGCAGCATTGTGTGCTTATGTTTCAGTGAGAAAGGATTGCACGAATTAAAAATCAAACAAGTGGCATGGTGGCTCAGCGGTCAGCACTGCTGCCTCACAGTGCCAGAGATCAGGTACGAATCCACCCTTGGGCGACTGTCTGTGTGGAGTTTTCACATTTTCCCAGTGTCTGTGTGGGTTTCCTCCAGATGCCCCAATTTCCTCCCACAGTCCAAAGATGTGCAAGGTAGGTGGATTGGACACGTTAAATTGCCCGTAGTGTTCAGCGATGTGTAGATTAGGTGTGTTATAGGGGGATGGGTCTGGGTGGGATGCTCTGAGGGTCGATGTGGGCTTGTTGGGCCGAAGGGCCTGTTTCCACACTGTAGGGATTCTATGATGTTCTATGCTATAAGCTATGATCTATCAAGTCAGATTTCAGTCTGGGACCTGACTAGTTCAGGAATAATATCAGCTGGGATCATAAAAGTATCAAACCCACATTACTGCCAGCCCAGTTTTTAATAGATGCAAGAATGGTACCAGGGATGAGGGACTTCACTTATTGATAGGATAGATAATTAGGTGTCCAAAATCATGAGTATTTTTGATAGAGTCAGTAAGAAGTAATGTTTTCCATTGGCAGAAGCTTCAGTAAAAAGAAGACAGGGATTTAAGGCAATCAAAAGAATCAGAGGAGAAATCAAGAGATGTTTTTACATTGCAATTTTTTGGGATCTGGAATGCACCATCCCAAAAGACTGGCAGCAGTAGATTTAATCATTATTTTAAAGAGGGAATTATACAAATCTTTGAAGGAAAAATGTCTGGGGAAAGATTGAGGAATGGAACTAATTGCATAGCCCTATCCAGGAGATGGAACAGGCACGATGGGCCAAATGGCTTCCTTTAGAACTGTCCCTCTATGTATCTGTGAGTGAAATGTGTTCATACTTACTCTGACTATCGATAGGCTTTGACGGTCAGCTGTGACTTGATGCATGGCAAGAGCCAAAACCTGAGCTGTATCAGCCACCGAGATGTCCAAATTCTGAATTTTAGTTTTGAGGAAATTCAGTGCGGCAGATGTTCCAACAGCAGGAAGTGCAGACAGAATCCAGGGCCGAGTGCTACAATATATAGACCAGAAGGTCTTCTTGTTTTTATATGTTTAATTCTACATTTTCTTGTCACGTTCACAAAAAAAAAACAGCCACAATCTTATTTTTGACAATGGAATAGCTATGGAGGGTTGAATGACCTCCTCCCATTGCTATGCTCCTAGTTAAATGGTTATGTGTGATCAATCAAGTTGCTACAAAGGTTGCAAGGATCAAAGTGAGGGATGGTGCTATGGTCTAAAAGGGAAACCAGGGACTTTTAAAATTAAGTTTAAACTTCTAGTTTTGTTCCTTCACTGTCACTGAGTCAGAATCCTGGAATTACCTCACTAACAGCATTGTGGATCAACCTACAGCATATGAATTGCAGTGGTTCAAGAAGGCAGCTCACCACCACCTTCTCAAGAGCAGCTTTGTACGGGCAAGACTCTACAAATACTGCTCAGAACAATGTATAAGGTTAATTTATATTTTGCACTTTTGTGTGTTGAAAAGGAGAAGATTCAAACTAACTATCACCAAATCTCAAAATTGACCTTTGGACAGGGAAACCATATGGACATTTTATATCCCTATTTTGGAGACAATACTTCAGAAAGGGAGACCCCTTATTTAATGTTTATCTATTTACGGTCTCACCGTAACGAATAATCACATCATGTTGACAGGTTGTGTAGTGTAGGCTTGTATTACCTTGATTATTGAAGATGTGCACTTGAAACTATTTAAAATTATAAAACTTGGAGACTGTAACTCCAGTATCGGACTCAAGAACAAAAGATGGGCCTTTGAAAGGGCTTGGAAATCTGTAATTCTCTCCCTTTTGACCAAGACAGCAGTGTAGTAAAACACTCCAGCCAGAGCTTGTCCACTCTGCTCATTCTTCATCGCCTTTTCTTCAATTTCTTTTCCTCTTAGTGTTTTTTCTTCTTCTTCTCTCCCGGCTACCGATGATTCCCAGGCTCTGGCAACAATTCCTGGGCTCTGGCGACCAGCGACCTGCCGGCCTGGTGTAGCCGCTTCCCAGGGCAGCTCCTGGTGTGGTGTTCTGGGCCCGGCATGGTGTCCCGGGCCTGGTGTGGTGTTCCTGGCCCAGCATGGCGGTCTGAAGTGATCTCTCAGCCTCATGATCCTCAAGGTCTGGAACCAGGGCCCAGTGCAGACTAGAGGCTAGGTGCCAGCATTCAAAGACCATTGTTCTGAACTTTTATTTCTGCAGCGTTTGACATTTCATTTCTCTATTTTCCAAGATCTTGTAATTAAAGAAACTGCACCTAGATACCTTTGTACCTCAGGTAGGGCTGTAAGTGGCGACATGTAAACTTTTCACTGAACTCATTAAGTAGACGTGTCAATAAAGGCTAATTCTAATTCTAATTCTAAGAGTAGGGAGTGTTAATCTGTACCCAAGCCAGTCAGTTAGACAGAGATTCAAGGCATATTCTTCTGTGGGTAGAGTTTATCAACTACTCAGTCTGACAGCTCCTTGCACCTAAACCCCCACTCAACCCCTTTGTTTTGGACGTTGGCTATATATATTTGCTCAGATAAATAATAGCTACCTAATTAACAGCCAAGAAGTTTCTCTTTAAGCTCAAATGGAAACATTTACAAACAATAATGGACTTAACTGGACATTAATATTTTGTGGTCATATGAAATTTTCAAAACTCGGATTCTTACATTTTTATTCAGCAAGACTGTCAGAAATCAAGGTAAATAAATTGAATAGTGATTCAGATTGTCCTAAATTTAACCAGACAGAGGAACAACACTTTGTTGAATGTTTTCTTTTTTTCCATAAACCAGTAAACAAGCAATGTAAGAGTCAATTACTTACTGGAGCTGGTGGTTGTGGGACTTTCTGCACAAGGTATCAATGGTTTCCTCCGTTGTGGATCGGAGTAATTGAACAAGCTGTAGAAATTTGGCAGCAGTGTCAGAATGGACTCTCTCCAGGTGTGTCAAGGTGTCTTGGATCTACAAAAATTGGAGATTACCTCAAATCACTCACAATTTCACAGCTCAGAAACAGGCCATTCAGCCCAAACAGTTTATACCCACACAAATCCTTGTTGTCCCCTTATGGGAATGTCTAGGGCCAGAGGGCAGAATCTTAGAATAAAGGGTTGCACCTTTAAGCCAGAAAAGAGGAGGAATTTATTCTCCCAGAGGGTAGTAAATCTGTGGAACTCTTTACCACAGAAGGCTGTCTAGAATGGGACATTAAGTATATTCCTGGCAGAGATTTTAATCAGTAAAGGGATGGAGGGTTATGTGGGAAAGGCAGGAAAGTGGAGTTGATGTTTATCAGAGCAGTCATCGAATGGCAGAGCCGACTTGATGGGCTGAATGGCTTTCTTCTGCTCCTACATCTAATGGTCTCAAACCTTCTCCAACCCTCTTATTCCCAGCCCACCCGCATATTCTCCAACTCTGTTCTTCCTCGTGATCAGAACTGGCTTTAACTCAAGCCCATGCATTGTGCAATTTCTTCAATCTCTTTTGTACGTCACATGGCAAGCTAAGCCGAAGTGAACTAAGCTCAGGAGCCTACAAAACAATTCAATGTGATTTGGTAAGAGTAATATGTGAGTGTGGCATTATCACTTTGGCAGGATGAATGGAAAGGCAGAATATTTTTTGAAAGAAGTGGAAAGTGTTCACAATTAGACAGAGTTGGGAGTCATGAATCATGAATTAATATATAAATGACACAAAGAAAATTAAGAATGCAAGTTATATGTTAGTCCTGATTACAAGTGTGTTGGAGTGCTACAATTATATAAGGCCATAGTGAAATCAACTGCAGTACAGGATGGGCAATAAATGCTGATATAGTCAGAGACACCCATATCCCATAAACAAACAAAACCAAACACTGCACTATTTAAATATCTGTACTGCAGAAAGAATGGTTCCATGGATGAGGAACTTCAGTTATGAGGGTAGACGTATTGAGACTTTTCTGTTTGGAGAAAAGAAAGCTAAGATGAAGTCTGATTGAGGTTTTCCCACACATTAAAGAAACAAGAACAAGACGGTGTAGATTGAAATTGATTTGCAAAAAGATGTGCATAAAAATCTGTCACACAGCAAGTAGTTAGGGTATGAAATCCACAGCCTGGCATTGTAGTGGAGGCAGGTTCAATTGAGACATTCAAGAGGGCATTGGGTGGTTATTTTGGATAGAAAACATGTGCAAGGATATGGGGGCAAAGCAGGAGATTGGCACTAGGTAATGATGCTCGTTTGAAGAGCTGGTGCAAACATGAGGGGCTGAATGGTCTCCATCTGCAAAGTAATGCTTCTGAGATTCTGGGTAAAGGATACACTTGCTACATACAAGGGTTTTCACACAATTCATTGCTGAGATAAAGGGAGGTGTCTTGTGAGGAGAGATCATGGAACACTCTCTACACTTTAGAGGAATGGGAGGTGATACTGAGACACAACGTTCTTTAATAAGACAGATGTACAGGTGATGTGTTTCTACAATCAGAATTTCAGAGATCGAAAACAAACGACATCAATTCAAAGTAATTGGTAAAAGAGCTACACGATCTACTCCTGATCAGGTTCTTATTGTCTTCATGCTGCCAGGGGAGATGGTAGAAGCAGATACACTAGCAACATTTCAGAGGCGTTTAGATAAATACTTGAACAGACAGGGAATAGAGGGATATGGACTATTTGTAGACAGATGGGATCAGTTTAGGACGACATTATAGTCAGCCCAGCCATGGTGGGCCGAAGGGCCTGTTCCTGTGCTCTCCTGTTCAGTGTTCTTTAGGAGGTCTAAAGCTGCACAAGATGAAGCAATATGCCTTCTTATTGTGACATTTACCGCTTTTTCCACATTCTGGATTTTCGTTAATTTTATTGGTTTGAGAAGTATATTCTCGTCAAAGCGATATTTCAAGGTTCCTCGGTTCACGAACTGAACCTGCTGTTCATGTATTACTGCTGGCCTGATGTTAACCAGCACAAGGTGTTGCCTGTAGATTGGATGAAGAAAGGTTATTGACCGGGGGAAAAATTCAACCTTTTCACAAGTCAGAATTCAATTATCAGATGTTGAAAATACTAAGAACCCTAACCTGTTATTTAGCAGCAAGCCAGTGATAGGAATATAGGAACATGGGAACAGGAGTAGGCCATTCAGCCCCTCGAGCCTGTTCTGCTTTCAATGAGATTACGGCTAATCTATGACCTAACTCCAAAAACCTGCCTTTGGCAAATATCCCTTAATACCTTTACGTAACAAAAATGCATCTATCTCAGACTTTAAATTAACAACTGATCCAGCATCCACTACTATTTGTGGAAGAGCGTTCCAAACATCTCCCACCCTTTGTGTGTTGAAGTGCTTCTTAACATCTCTCCTGAATGGTCTGGCCCTAATTGTCAGACTATGCCCCTAGTTCTAGAATGCCCAACCAGTGGAAACAGTTTCTCTCTATCTACCCTGTCTTTTCCTGTTAATAGTTTGAAGACTTCAATCAGATCACCCCTTAACCTTCTAGAGAAAATATGCCTCATTTGTATAATCACTCCTCATAACTTAACACCTGAAGTCCTGGTATCATTTTTGTAAACCTACACTGTACTCCATCCAAGGCCAACTTATCCTTCCTAAGGTGTGGTGCCCAGATCTGCTCACAGTGCTCCGACTGGGGTCTAACCAGGGTTTTATGTAACTGTCTGTGTCTGAGTTTCGAGGACAACTTACATCAGATGGAATTTCAAACAAAAGGAATCATATTTCATTACAGACATCATGAGAAACTAAAATTAACAGGATGTTGCTGTCAAGCTAAGAAGATGTCTGTCTGTATACAAAGAAGTAATAGAGCATATGAATTTCAGTGATGTCCCAAATATTGGGAGATCATATCAAAAAGCACATTCCTTCCACTGCTCATAAGAAGCAATGTACTGACTGCACCCAGCCAGTCCAAACTTCCAAAACCCAAAACACAGTGCCCAATATTAGATGTGATTCTGAAATTTTTTTTTGATAAATAATCTTGAGTGTGCTATGAATTATGCTGACCAACCAATACAAGACTGTTGTTGGGCTCTCAGTATGGCACACTTTTGAGTATTGAAAGCTACATATATTAATGAACAAGAGACTATGCTTGTCAGACTGAAAGAACATGAACACACACTGCCTGTACCAACTCAAAAAAAAGATCATGGCCATTCGCTGATTCATTTCTCAGAGCAATGCCCTGACCCATCAGAGTCAACCTGCTTGGTTTAAGCTTTGGAGGCAGCACAGTGGCTCAGTGGTTAACACTTCTGCCTGACAACACCAGGATTCTGGGTTCAATTCCACCTCAGGCTACTGTTTGGAGTTTGCACATTCTCCCCATGTCTGTGTGGGTTTCCTCCCACAGTCCAAAGATATGCAGATTAGGTGGATTGGCCATGCTAAATTGCCTATGGTGTCCAGGGATGTGGAGGCTAGGTGGGTTAGCCATGGGAAATGCAGGGTTACAGGGATAGGGTGGGATGCCCTTTGGAAGGTCAACGTGGGTTGAATGGCCTCCTTCCACATGGTAGGGATTCTATGATTCCAATAAAGTTGGCACTTAACTATCAGTCATCATCTAACTGGTGCATTCTCTGAAATACTCTCCTACCAATCAATCAGTACTCTCTTCTCATTGAGTTCAAAAGGGTGTATTCTTGCTATGTTGGTTTTGTCTTATGAACTTTCCTGATGAGTGGAAGATACAAAGCTTTGACAAAGTATGTCTTTTTCAGCAACACATGAGTTTTGTATGAATACAAATTAATGGTACAACGGGTTCATATCCAAAGACTAACCTAGCTTCCATGATAGCGGCTCCATCACGCTCATTGAATGGTGTAAATTGATGCACTTCTTGAACCCTTGCTTCCTGAAGAATTGCACCAGTTGCTGTAGGTTTTAGGGTATGGGTGAAAGTAGCAGATGCACGTATATTCCTACTCCACTGAAAATAGAAAACGACATCATGTTATCATTTTGTGCACCTCCATTCAGAGCATCAACAACAATTTGTGTTTTTGTGGTTGCCTAGGTGTAATTAAATGTTTGCATGGTGCTTCCCAGAAATGACATAAGGCGATATTAGTACTGATGTCGAAAAGCTCTGTTGGAAAGGAAGTTTAAAGATAATATTAAAGTAGGAAAACATGATAAAGAGGCAGAGAGATTTAGCAAGAATATTTCAATGCTTATATCCTTCAAAGTTAACATATGGTAACTAATGGTGGGGTATTTAAGACTGGAAATATTCAAGGGATCAGAATTAGAGGAGCACAGATATCTCAGAAGGTGTTATGGATGAGGGAGATTGAAAAAGCTTGGGGTTAGGCCAAGGAAAGATTTGAAAATGATGTGAATTTAAAATTGAGGCAGTCCTTAACTGGAATTGAATGTGGGTCCATGAGCACAGATTTGTTGGGTGAACACCAACATGGATGGATGTTCAGATCATGTATTAGACTTAACAGCCATCTCAGAACTTGAACCCAGAATTAAACTGGACTGCAAGCAAGTCACCCTGAGTCTTGAGAGATTGCCTATAACAGGAGATAGTGATCAGAACCTGGTGAGAGTGAGGACAAGACAGCAAGGGGAGGTGATGGCCTGGTGGTATTATTGCTGAACTGTTAATCCGGAGACCCAGGTAATGTTCTGGGGACCTGGGTTTGAATCCCTTGGTGGCTGATGGTGGAATTTGAATTTAATAAAAGTCTGGAATTAAGAGTCCAATGATGGCAGTTTCATGTGTAGGAAAAACCCATCTGATTCACTAATGTCCTTTCGGGAAGGAATCTGCCATCCTTACCTGGTCTGGCCTACATGTGACTCCAGACCCACAGCAATGTGGTTGACTTTTAAGTGCCCTCTGTGCAATTAGGGATGGGCAATAAATGCTGCCCAGCCATGAATGAGTATTGAAAGAGAATTAGATATAATTACATGGAGGGGAGAATATGGAAGCACAACCAGGGATACTTTGAAATAGTCAAACATAGAGGTAACAAATATTTTTTGGATAAATTTTGTTGGTTCATGGAAAATTTGCAAGTTAACTTTAGTGAAAGGTTGAAGACTAATGCAACCAGTATAATTTTTTGCCACGTTTGGGCCCAATTTCCAGAATGTTGTCAAACACAAACTCTCCTGTTTTGTTTATTTTATGAGTTTTGGAGATAACAGTTGGTTTTATGAAGAGAGAAGAAAGATCTGAATTGATGAAGTTTACCTGTTGGCAGATTGGGCAGAGTTCAGCATAGACGGCACCAGTGAACAACATAACTTTCTCCTGACAGTTATTCAAGTCTTTTGACTTGGTGACAATAATTCGGTTAGCTTTCTTGTTTTCCTGAATGATGTAATTTGTGAGACAAACACCTTCAATTCCAGCCTGTAGATGGGAAAAGAAATGACTTTATTTCATACTGGTCATACTGGTCCTCCATTTTGAAGTATACAACAAGTCAGACTAGTATGTCTCATTCACCAGTTTAAATGGTTTATCATTTCTAGGCAAGTTCAAGACCATAAGACCCGAAGAAATGGGAACAAGAATAGGCTGTTCAACCCCTCAATTCAATAGAATCATGGCTGATCCAACATTCCTCACGTCCACTCTGCTGCATTTTCCCAGTAACCCTTGATTCTCCGACTGATCAAGAATAAAGAAGTCTTGCTATTACTGTACAAGGCTTTGACAGAACCACATCTCAAATAACGTGCACAACTTTGGGCATTTTATGTCAAGCAGGATACACTTGAATTGCAGATGGCACAGCAAGGGTTCACTAGGATGTTTCCTGTGATGAGAGAAATGCCCTATAAAGAGGGACTGCGTAAGTTGGGTTTATATTCTCTGGAGTTTAGAAGAATGAGATGTGATCTCATTGAAATGGATAAGAATGTGGACAGGCCTGAGAGGTAAGACACAGAGGTTGTCTCCCCTTGCCTAGAGAAATACACATCACAGTCTCAGGATAGGAGCTTGATCATTTTGGACTGAGATTATAGTATATATAAGTGATTTGGAGGAGACTGTAAGTGGCCTGATTAGTAATCTTGCGGATGACACAAAGACTGGGGGAGCTGCGGATAGTGAAGGAAATTGTCAGAGAATAGACCAGGATGTAGGTAGGCTAGAGATTTGGGTGGAGAAATGGCAGATGGAGTTTAATCCGAACAAATGTGAGGCGATGCATTTTGGAAGATGTAATACAGGAGTGAAGTTTGCAGTAAATGGCAGAACTCTTAGGAACATCAATGTGCAGAGGGATGTAGTGTACAGTTCCCCAGTTCTTTTGAAGGGTCTAGGCCCGAAACGTCAGCCTTCCTGCTCCTCTGATGCTGCTTGGCCTGCTGTGTTCATCCAGCTCTACACCTTGTTATCTCAGATTCTCCAGCATCTGCAGTTTCTACTTGGTTTGTTTTCACTTAACTTTCGAAGGATGAGGGGTGACCTGATTGAATTTTACAAAATTATGAGTGGTATGGTTACAATGGATAGTTGGATTATTTTTCCCAAAGTAGAAATATCAATTACTAGCAGATATGGGTTTAAGGTAAAAGGGGGTAAGTTTAAAGGAGATGTGAGAGGCAAATTTTTTTACACAGAGTGTGGTAAAGGTCTGGAATGTGTTGCCAGAGGAGGTGGAGATGGATACAGTAGCAACGTTTAAGAGGCATCTTGACAGATATATGAATAAGCAGGGAACAGAGGATATGAGCATTGTAGAGGCAAAAGATTTTTAGCTTAGAAAGGCATCATGTGCCCGTGTAGTCTTGGTGGGCCGAAGGGCCTGTTCCAGTACTGCACTGTTCTTTGTCCGTGGAGATGAATAGTAATTTCTTCACTCAAAGCGTTCTGAATCTTTAGAATTTACTACCCCAGAGAGTTGGGGATGCTCAATCATGAGGATATTTAAGGTTGTAGTAGAGAGGTTTCTGGTTTCTAAGAGATTTCTGGAATCAAGGGGTATGGGGAGTGGATGGAATGTGAAGCTGAGGCAGCAGATAAGCCATGATCATTTGAATCGTGGAACAGACTCAAGGGGCTGAATGGTCTATTCCTGCTTCTGTTTCTTATGATGTTTTGTACATAATACACAAACTAATGTCGGGGCAAGGGCTATTGATATCGTTGAATAAAACAAAAGAGGTACCTCTTGCAACGCATAGAAATTTTGTGATTTCTTCGTGGTGATTTGAAAGATGTTAAGGATCCCACGGTGAATGTTCAGGACATCTTCAAGCAAGTCTGCAGGGGCTTGGATGTTTCCAACTCGGCCTTTGTTGTACTCAAACTTCACAGGCTTGGTCAGCTCTGAAGCCAGCTTCTGTGTGAGTTTATGTGCTGAGATGAAGGGATCCCTTGGCCAAATGCCATTGTACTCCAGAATCTGAGCATGGGAGATCTTAGAAAACAAAATGAAGCAGTTGTGTGTTTATTATGAATGCTGAAAACTATATGGCACAGGCAAACTCAGAAGTTGTCTGAAGGGGTTGATAAAAAAAATTATGTACAATTTTTCAAAGTTGTGAAACCTCCTACTGCACATGCAAAGGAATTGGGTAAAAATCTTGGAAATCTTATCAAGCCAACTAACTGTAGCTGTATAAAAAATGTCCCTTAATAGTTTTACATGTTTTTCCCAGGTGTTGCTACATATCAAGTAATCATCAAAATAAACTACACAGCTAGGCACACTCACTGTGACTTGATATATAAGTCTTTGGAATTTAACTGGGGCACTTTTAAGCCTGAATGGCATGACTCATCATTGATACAATGCCTTCTGTGTAACAAAAGCTGACATTTCTTCAGCTCTTGATGTTAATGGTACTTGCCTGTACCACTTCAACAAATGAATTAGAATAAGAACATAAGAACTAGGAGCAGGAGTAGGCCATCTGGCCCCTTGAGCCTGCCCCGCCATTTAATAAGATCATGGCTGATCTTTGAGACTCAGCTCCACTTACCCGCCCACTCACCATGACCCTTAATTCCTTTACTGTTCAAAAATGTGTCTAGCCTTGCCTTAAACACATTCAGCGAGGTAGCTTCAACCGCTTCACTGGGCAGGGAGTTCCACAGATTCACAACCCTTTGGGTGAAGAAGTTCCTCCTGACCTCAGTCCTACATCTGCTTCCCTTTATTTTGAGGCTATGCCCCCTAGTCCTAGTTTCACCTGCTAGCGGAAACAACCTCCCTGCCTCCACCTTATCTATTCCCTTCATAATCTTATATGTTTCTATAAGATCTCCCCTCATTCTTCTGAATTCCAATGAGTATAATCCCAGCCTACTCAGTGTCTCCTCATAATCCAACCCTCTCAACTCTGGAATCAACCGAGTGAATCTCCTCTGCACCCCCTCCAGTGCTAGTACATCTCTTCTCAAGTAAGGAGACCAAAACTGCACACAGTACTCCAGGTGTGGCCTCACCGGGACCCGATACAGCTGCAGCATAGCCTCCCTGTTTTTAAACTCCATCCCTCTAGCAATGACAGACAAAATTCCATTTGCCTTTTTAATTACCTGCTGCACCTGCAATCCTACTTTTAGCGATTCATGCACAAGGACACCCAAGTCCCTCTGCACAGCAGCGTGCTGCAACTTTTTACCATTTAAAACATGGTCCATTTTGCTGTTATTCCTACCAAATTGGATGACCTCACACTTATCAACATTATACTCCATCTGCCAGACCTTTGCCCACTCACTTAGACTATCTATATCCCTCTGCAGACTTTCAGTGTCTTCTGCACACTTTGCTCTACCACTCACCTTAGTGTCATCTGTAAATTTTGACACACCACACTTAGTCCCCAACTCCAAATCATCTATGTAAATTGTAAACTATTGAGGTCCCAACACTGATCCCTGAGGCACACCACTAGCCACTGACCGCCAACCAGAAAAACACCCATATACCCCTACTGTTTGCTTTCTACTGGTCAACCAATCCTCTATCCATGCCAATACATTACCTGTAATACCGTGCAACTTTATCTTATGTAGCAGCCTTTGGTGTGGCAAGTTGTCAAATACCTTCTGGAAATCCAGACACACCACATCCACAGGTTCCCCATTGTTCACCATGCAAGTAATGTCCTCAAAGAATTCGACCAAATTAGTTAAACATGACCTACCCTTCATGAACCCATGACAACAAGGTGCAGGGCTGGATGAACACAGCAGGCCAAGCAGCATTATAGGAACAGAGAGGCTGACGTTTCGGGCCTAGACCCTTCTGTTCCCACTGGGACAATTTATATCCAGATATCTTGCTATTTCTTCCTTAATGATAGATTCAAGCATTTTCCCCACTACTGAAGTTAAGCTAACTGGCCTATAGTTACCTGCTTTTTGTCCAGTTCCTTTTTTAAACAGTGGTGTCACATAGGCTGTTTTCCAATCTGGGGGAACCACCCCAGAGTCCAGTGAATTTTGGTAAATAATTACTAGTGCATTTGCTATTTCCCCCATCACCTCTTTTAGTACCCTGGGATGCATTTCATCAGGGCCAGGAGACTTGTCTACCTTTAGCCCCATTAGCTTGCCCAGCACTGCCTCCTTAGTGATAATGATAGTTTATAGGTCCTCACCTGCTATAACCTTCTTGCCATTAGTTTTCGGTATGTTATTTGTGTCTTCCACTGTGAAGACTGACACGAAATAACTGTTTAATGTCTCAGCTATTTCCTCATTCCCAGTTATTAAATTGGCCTTCTCATCCTCTAAAGGATTAATGTTTACCTTCGCCACTCTTTTACGATTTACATACTTATAGAAAATTTTGCTGCCTGTTTTTATATTCTGAGCTAGTTTACTCTCATAATCTATCTTACTTTTCTTTATAACTTTTTTGTGGCTTCCTGTTGGCCTTTAAAGATTTCCCAATCTACTAGTTTCCCACTACTCTTTGCTTTCTTGTGTGTAATTTTTTTTTAATCTGATACTTTCCTTTATTTCCTTCGACGTCCATGGCTGGCTCTCTCTTTTCCTACAGTTCTTCCTTATCACTGGAATATACTTCTGCTGAGCACTGTGAAAAATTGTTTTGAAAGTCCTCCACTGTTCCTCAATTGACCCACCATAAAGTTTTTGCTCCCATTCTACCTTAGCTAACTCCTTCCTCATTCCTTCATAGTCTCCTTTGTTTAAGCAAAGGACATTGGTACTGGATTTAACCTTCTTACGCTCCATCTGTATTTTAATTTTGACCATACTGTGATCCCTCCTTCCGAGAGGATCCCTAACTGTGAGATCATTAATTATTCCTGTCTCATTACACAGGATTAGATCTGGGATAGCTTGCTCCCTCGTAGGTTCCATTACATATTGTTCAAGGAAATTATCGCGGATGCATTCTATGAACCCCTCCTCAAGGCTGCCATGACCGACCTGGTTTGACCAATTGATATGCAGATTAAAATCCCCATGATAATTGCTGTACCATTTTTACATGCATTAGCTATTTCGATGTTTATTGCCCACCCCACCACGATGTCATTATTTGATGGCCTATAGACCACACCTATCAGTGACTTCTTCTCCCTGCTATTCCTAATTTCCACCCAAATGGATTCAGCGTTTTGTTCAGTAGAACCTATATCATCTCTCAATACGGCCTTGATATCATCCTTAAAAATCAGAGCAACACCACCTCCCTTACCTTCCTGTCTGTCCTTCCGAACAGTTTGATACCCCTGGATATTTAACTCCCAGTCATGACCATCCTGTAACCATGTCTCTGTAATGGCCACTAAATCATACCCATTTGCCATGATTTGCACCGTCAACTCATCCACCTTGCTTCAAATGCTCTGAGCATTCAGATAAAGTGCCCTTTTGCCAGTTTTTGCACCTCCTTTTTTGGGTCCTATCACCTCCATTACTAACAGCTCTTAAGTTCTCCTTCCCTTTAACTTTTTTCCTAATTTTCAACGGACTTGAAGCTTCCTCGTCACCTGCTAACCTGCTGCTTTGCCTTACATTAATTGTTATTCTCCATCTACGCTCACTCCTCCCTTCCCCCCATAAGGAATGTGAATACTATCAACATGATCCTCTAACTGAGGAATTACATACAAGTTGGTTTTTGTTACTTGCCTGTCGTCAATGAAGAATCTAGTCAACTTATTCTGTTTGGAAACTAACACTATCAGTGTGCACCAGTTTCTTTGGCATTGAATGTTTTCCAACATGTATTGAATTTCTATTCCCACCTAAGCTTATTATTCTCCTTTTAAAATGCCAGGATGTTGTTTTTTTGATACTGATTCCCCTCAATCCACAATCTGCCTGGCTAACATTGTACAGCTTGGTGCATCTCCATAAATTCTCTTGAAATTCCTCAGTAACTTTACTGGATCTCTATTTCCCTCCTCTAATCACAAGAATATATAGTCTAATCATCCCAGTGTTTCATTGTTAGCTGGTCAGGATACAGAAGCTTTACTTTGTGAATGGTCTCATTCTCTTATGATTGAATCAGAGATAGTAGGAACTGCAGATGCTGGAGAATCCGAGACAACAAGGTGCAGGGCTAGATGAACACAGCAGGCCAAGCAGCATCATAGGAGCAGAGAGGATGCTGCTTGGCCTGCTGTGTTCATCTAGCCCTGCACCTTGTTGTCTCTCATTCTCTTATGACTTCATTTTGGTGTCTCTGACATTCTCCACTTTTCTTCCCAGCTGACAGATTTGCTCTTTCTAAACTTCCTATCTACGATGATATTGCTTTAACATGTTAATATGACTTAATCAATTCTTCTCCCTGCAATCTGGAGTAACCCAAGATAAATCACTTTACTAACCCTCTTAATTGCTGTGTACAGAACTTTGAATCTCACATTCAGAGGTTCACTTTTTGTAGGTAATAACACTAGGGCTTTGTTTCTTGTTTAAAATGTTTTAATTGCAATATAGGTGGCATGGTGGCTCAGTAGTTAGCACTGCTGCCTCACAGCACCAGGAACCCAGATTCAATTCCACCCTCGGGCAACTGTCTGTGTGGAGTTTGCATGTTCTCCCTGTGTCTGTGTGGGTTTTCTCTGGGTGCTCTGGTTTTCTCCCACAGTCCAAAGATGTGCAGGTTAGGTGGGTTGGCCATGCTAAACTGTCCTGTAGTGTTCAGGGATGTGTAGGTTAGGTGGGCTAGACATGGGGAAATGCAGGGGTAGGGGAATGAGTCAGGATGGGATAGTCTTCAGAGGGGCAGAGTGGACTTGTTGGGCTGAATGGCCTGTTTCCACACTGTAGGGATTCTACAATGTTTGCTGTCAATTCTTCTATTTCTGCCTGTGAAGTTTTTAAATGCCTGTGTGCTACTTTAAATGCATCTGTGAATATCACTGAAAACATGGACATGTAAACTTGTTAAAAATGGAAAGAACTGCAGATGCTGTAAATCAGA